ACGGGGTTTCACCATGTTGACCAGGATGGTCTCGATCTCTTGACCTCGTGATCCACCCACCTCGGCCTCCCAAAGTGCTGGGATTACAGGCTTGAGCCACCGCGCCCGGCCTACATTAATCTTAATAGTTCTTCGATTATTTGAATGTAATTAATTTTTATTTTGACTTCTGATAAATTTCATTTTTTATTTTACTCAAATTATAGTTGTTCACTTAAGTTTCATTTCTGTATTTATGTTGTAAGAAGTACCAAGTTGGGCCGGGTGCGGCGGCTCCCGCCTGTAATCCCAGCACTTTGGGAGGCTGAGGTGGGCGGATCACGAGGTCAAGAGATCGAGACTATCCTGGCCAACATGGTGAAACCCCGTCTCTACTAAAAAATACAAAAATTAGCTGGGTGTGGTGACGTGCGCCTGTAGTCCCAGCTACTCTGGAGGCTAAGGCAGGAGAATTGCTTGAACCCAGAAGGCGGAGATTGCAGTGAGCCGAGATTGTGCCACTGCACTCCAGCCTGGTGACTGGTGACAGAGCAAGACTCTGCCTCAAAAAAAAAAAGAAGTACCAAATTGGACACGTCTTTGTAACAATGTGTAAGAAAAAAAAAGTACCAGGGAGCTCTGTGATTTCTTATGTTGCCAAGATGAGAACGGAGTGGGCAGGAACGGAGAAAGGGACAGAGGTGAAAGCACAAAGGGACAGGAGAAAGCTGAGGTGGGCCACGTCCTTCTGGCTGGGGCAGTGTCCTGGGACACATAATTCCAGATCATATCCTTCTGTTTGCTCCACATCATTGCGATTTTCATTAATTGACAACAAGATACAATTGATCAACAAGAAGGCTGGGCACCATGTCTCACCCCTGTAATCCCAGCACTTTGGGAAGCTGAGGTAGGCGGATCACCTGAGGTCGGGAATTCAAGACCAGCCTGGCCAACATGGCAAAACCCCATCTCCACTAAAAATACAAAAATTAGGCCGGGCACAGTGGCTCATGCCTATAATCCCAGCACTTTGGGAGGCCGAGGCAGGCAGATCACCTAAGGTCAGGAGTTGGAGACCAGCCTGGCCAACATGGTGAAATCCTGTCTCTACTAAAAATAAATACAAAAGTTAGCTGGGCGTGGTGGCATGCACCTGTAATCCCAGCTACTCGGGAGGCTGAGGCAGGAGAATCCCTGGAACCCGGGAGGCAGAGGTTGCAGTAAGCCAAGATCACACCACTGCCCTCCAGCTTGGGAGAGTGAGACTTTGTCTCAAAAAACAAAACAAAACAAAACAAAAATTAGCTGGGCATGGTGGTGCATACCTGTAGTCCCAGCTACTCAGGAGGTTGAGGCAGGAGAATTGCTTGAACCTGGGAGGCAGTGGTTGCAGTGAGCCAAGAATGTGCCACTGCACTCCAGCCTGGGCAGCAGAGCAAGATGCCAGCTAAAAAAAAAAAAAACTAGGATGACAGTTTCAGTGGCTCACGTCTTTAATGCAAGTACTACTTTGGGAATCCAAAGCAGGAGGATCACTTGAGCCTAGGTTCAAGACCCAGTTTGAACTGGGCAACATAGGGAGACTCCATCTCTACCAAAAAAATTGTTTTAAATTAGCCAGGCATGGTAGCACAAGCCTGTTGTCCCACCTCACTTGGAAGGCTGCGGTGGGAGGACTATCTGAGCCCAGGAGGTTGGGGTTGCAGTGAGCCATGATCACACTGCTACACTCCACCCTGGGCAACAGAGCAAGACCCTCTCCAAAAATATAAAAAAGGACTGGGAAGAGCAAAGGCGGAGTGAAGGTTAGGGATGGCGTTATCTCCCCATCTCAGGAGCTTCCTGCAGAGAGAAGCATGTGGTGATATCTGAGTACTTCTTAATCCTTCAAATCTGGAATGTTACCTATCTGGTAAAAGGGACATTGCAGTTGTGATTAAGTTAAGGACTTCAAGATGGGGAGGTTAGCATGGATTATACAGGTGGGCCAGTGTGATCACGAAGATCTTTATGAAGGAAGGCAGGAGATCACAGTGAATAGTAGAAGATATGACACTGATGAAAGCAAAAGTTGTAGTGATGTAGCAAAGGGGTCACAAGCCAAGGAATGCAGGTGGCCACTAGAAGCTGCAAAAGCAAGGTAATCGATTCTCCCCTCACGGCCCCTGGGGCACCAGCCCTGCCAACACCTGGACTTTAGCCCAAATGAAACTGATCTCAGACTTCTGCCCTCCAGAACTCTAAGAACAAATTTGTGTTGTTTTAAGCCACTGGGTTTGGGTAGTTTGTTGCAACAGCAACTGGACATTAATGCCCTATCTTTGAGGATGAACAGAACTGACCGAAACTTCACCAAACTGAAAGGAAGCTCAGGCCCTGTAGGGGGCTTGAGTGAGAGCCCTGTGAGACTCCAGTCTCCGTGCCTCCTCCCTCAGACATGGTCCCTCAGGGTAGACAGCACCACAGGGCACACAGTGGGGTGGGGGGAGGGAATCCCCCCACTTCAGCAGGAATTAACTGGGCTTGTTACGTGCGTAAAGAACAGTTACACTCAGGTGATGGTCCATCACAGTACATGTGGATGGGAGGAGGCATCAGAAGTTCATTCAAGGCAGGGCACGGTGGTTCACACCTGTAATCCCAGCACTTTGGGAGGATGAGGCAAGTGGATCACTTGAGGTCAGGAGTTTGAGACCAGCCTGGCCAACATGCAGAAACCCTATCACTACTAAAAATACAAAAATTAGCTGGATGTGGTGGTGTGCACCTGTAATCCCAACTACTCGAGAGGCTGAGGCAGGAGAATCGCTTGAACCTGGGAGGCAGAGGTTGGAGTGAGCTGAGATCATGCCACTGTGCTCCAGCCTGGATGACAGAGCAAGACTCAGTCTCAAAAAAAAAAAAAAAAAAAAAAAAAAAAAAAACAAAGAAAAAAAAAAAAAAAAAAAAAAAAAAAAAAGTTCATTCAAAGAACTCAGCGGTCACTCGGATTAGGACTTTGTGAAGATATTCAAGAGACATCACAGAAAACATGAACCATGATGGTTTGACCCATGACCTGCCCTTTCTGGGAGAACCTGTACTCGCCATAAATAGAACCTATACTTCCCAAGAGTTCTAGGAGATGGGAGTGGGTCCATGCAGAGCACTCTTATGGGGCAGAGGTTTATCCCCTTCAGAATCACTTAACACAGGGCTCCCTTTGAATCCAGCTCAATCCCCAGCCAGGGCAGCGGGACTGGATTTGTTGAATGGCCAGGGCAGGAGTGAGCCATTTGGGCAGGCGTTCCTCGGAAGGGCACGCGGTCGGCGTGCGCGTTGAGAGCCTCACACCACCACTCCAGAACGAGCAGTAAGAATGGAACTGGAGCATATGAAGAGACAGACGGCAGAAGTGTCTACCGTTCCTTTATTCCTTGTTAAAGGCAGTGACTCGTGTTGCTCATGGGCTACCCGCTGCTCCTGCAGGGAATCCCAGTGGCCACCTGGAGGTGCTGGACGGGATGACCCCAGCTCCAGCTGCCTTGGCTGTGGAGATTCAGAGTTCAGATTGGAACATATCTTTTTTTCTCACTCAGATATGCAAAAGTGGGCCCTGACATGGAAATGGGTGGATTCCGGAGATTCAAATGCCCGCATTTCCTGATAGGCCCCAATATCTCCACTAAGAGTCTGCAGTTGCTACTTCCAGCAGGCCAGGATGGACACCAAAGCCCTTTATAGAGAATATCCTGGCCACTTCTAGTCTTACACAGCTCCACAAGGCAATGATGCCTTCTTTTTAATTTTTTTTTATTTATTTATTTTTTGAGACTGAGTCTCACTCTGTTGCCCAGGCTGGAGTGCAGTGGCGCCAAGGCTGAGTCTCACTCTGTCGCTCAGCTCACTGAAACCTCCACCTCCCGAGTTCAAGCAATTCTCCTGCCTCAGCCTCCCGAGTAGCGCCCACCAACATGCGTGGCTAATTTTTGTATTTTTAGTAGAGAGAGGGTTTCACCAAGTTGGCCAGGATGCTCTCGATGCCGTCTTTAATAAATAAATAAATGTTTAATACTGCCACTCTCATGCTGACCACAAGAAGGTGCTGTTCCTCCACTCACGCACGGAAAAGTCTGGTTTCTTAAGAAACGCCGTGACATAGCTGAAACTGAGCTGAGACCTACAAATGGAGATTTGCTAAAATCTTTGAGAAAAGGAAAGGAAAATAAATGTTGAGACTGTCACAGCCCAGTTAATCCTGTGCTCTCAGAAGGGACCATCTTTACCCTCACCACCAAGGAACTTCTCAGGGGACACCCCTACCCCTAATGTCCAGCTCCAAGAAAGAGGGGCAAAAAGAGGTTGACGCATCCCTTCTCCAGCCTGCTGTCAGGAAGACGGTCCTCCCAAGAATAAAAGATCCCAGCTCACTCTCAGTAACTATCAGCAGCAGCCATGCTCCCTAAATATTCTGCCTTGCAGCCTGGCACGGTGGCTCACGCCTGTAATCCCAGCACTTTGGGAGGCCAAGGCAGGCAGATCATGAGGTCAGAAGTTCAAGACCAGGTGACCAATATTGTGAAACCCCGTCTCTATTAAAAATAAAAAAATTAGCCAGGTGTGATGGCGTGCGCCTGCAGTCCCAGCTATTCAGGAGGCTGAGGCAGAAGAATCACTTGAACCTGGGAGGCAGAGGTTGCAGTAAGCCAAGATCGCACCACTGCACTCCAGCCTAGGTGACAGAGCAAGACTCTGTCTCAAAAAAAAAAAAAAAAAAGATTCTGCCTTGCCTGACAAGGCCTCACTCCTCTAGTGTGGTCTCTAAAGTCCCAGACTATTTCTGGGATATTCTGGAACATTCCTGTGAAAGCATATGTAACTGGGCAGGCACCAACTCCCACATACTCCCTCTGAAGCCCAGTACTTCAATTCCCATCTTCCCACTTCCCTTCTCAGGAGGGTTTCCTGTCTGAGGATCACACCCTTCCTGGGGGTCAGCCCTGAATGCTCCTCTGCAGCAGCATTTCCCCTGGTGGGTGAGGAGGACCACACATGGTTCAGCCTGGCGAGTCACACCACTCTGAGCAAATAGGGCTTCCAAGAGGTAAGGAGGTGTGCCAGTGAGAAAGGTTTATTACTAGAATCTGACCTGAGTGATGGAGGCACACATGATGGGTCAGGATCATATTGTCCAGGGATAATGAGGCTGTCAGGCTCTTGTGACCATTTTGCCAGCAGATCGAGTAAAGATGTTTGATAATATTATATGTCTGCCAAAATGGGAATGACTGCCTGAACTAAGAAAGGAGGTCTCCTCAAAAATCCTCTTTTGGATTTCCTTCTCCTACTGAAAACGAAGTGCAAATAAGCTCCCAAAGTCCTCCTACTAGGCAGGTGAAGTGGCTCCCACTTGTAAGGGTATCGCTTGAAGCCTAGAGTTCCAGACCAGCGTGGGCAACAGACTGAGACTCCATTTCTACAAACAAAAAACCGGCCGGGCGTGGTGGCTCAGGCCTGTAAGCCAAACACTTTGGAGGCCAAGGCGGGCCGATCACCTGAGGTCGGGAGTTCAAGAGCAGCCTGACCAATATGGTGAAACCCTGTCTTTTAAAAAAAAAGAAATTAGCCAGGCATGGTGTTGCATGCCTGTAGTCTCAGCTACCTGGGAGGCTGAGGTGGGAGGATCACTTGAGCCCAGGAGTTTGAGGCTGCAGTGAGCCATGATCACATCACTGCACTCCAGCCTGGGTGATAGAGTGAGATCCTAACTCTAAAAGTAAATAAAATAAAAATAAAGCGGCCACGAAAAACTAAAATAAAATCATTTCCTGGCCGGGCGCCAGTGGCTCACGCCGTAATCCAAGCACTTTGGCGGCCAAGGCGGGCGGATCACCTGAGGTCGGGAGTTCAAGACCAGCCTGACCAACATGGTGAAACCCCGTCTTTAAAAAATAAAAAATAAAATAAAATCATGTCCTTTCCAACAATATGGATGGAGCTGGTGGCCATTATCCGGTTTTTGTTTGTTTGTTTGTTTGTTTGTTTTTTGTATTTTTTTAAAGATAGAGTTTCACTACATTGGTCATGCTGGTCTCAAACTCCTGACCTCAGGTGATCCGATCCGCCCACCTCAGCCTCCCAAAGTACTGGGATTACAGGCATGAGCTACCACGTCCAGCTATGGTGGCCATTATCCTAAGTAAACTAACTCAAACAGAAAATCAGATACCGGCCAGGCGCGGTGCTCAAGCCTGTAATCCCAGCACTTTGGGAGACCGAGGCAGGTGGATCACGAGGTCAAGAGATCGAAACCATCCTGGTCAACAAGGTGAAACCCCGTCTCTACTAAAAATACAAAAAATCAACTGGGCATGGTGGCACGTGCCTGTAGTCCCAGCTACTCAGGAGGCAGAGGCAGAAGAATTGCCTGAACCCAGGAGGCGGAGGTTGCGGTGAGCCGAGATTGCGCCATTGCACTCCAGCCTGGGTAACAAGAGCGAAACTCTGTCTCAAAAAGAAAAAAGAAAATCAGATACCGCATGTTCTCACTTACACTTAGTGAGCTTAAACTTATGAGGGAGCCAAAGTGTAAGTAGGAACTTATAAATGAGCTAAACGATGGGTACACATGGACATAAAGATAGAAATAATAGACACTGGGACTCCAAAAGCCGGGAGAGTAGGTGGGGAGCAGGGACTGAAAATCACTTATTGGGTCCACCGTACTATTTAGGTAATGGGTTTACTAGAAGACCAGTCTCCACCAGTACACAATGTAGCTAAGACTCTAGCTCAGAAAATAAAATAAAAAATAAAATAAACTTTAGGTCCTCCTATTTATAAGTACCGCCTCATATATGCCTCTTGCAACGTCTCCAATCAAATCCTTTATTTACACAATATCTGCCAGTTCGTCTAGATAAAAAATTCTCTATAATTTGCTTTTTGTCTTATTTGGAGAGCCAATCTGATATATGAAATATGAGAATTCTAATTCATTTTTTCCTGACCTGCCGGGATAGTTCACAAAAATTCATGCACTATTAGGTTTGATTTCAGTGTTATGCCATTTCTAGATGTTTGTTTTCAACAACCAACAGAAGAGATGGCAAGCTGTGACTTCACTTTGTCCTAACATGTGTCAGGTATCTTTAGGAAGAACTCAGTCGCAGTTGCTGGGGTTACAGAGAAGAATGTATACGACAGGATCTCCTTAGGCTCCAGGGGACCAAAGTCACCATCATCCATAGAATCAGCATAATTTTCACAGTTATTTAAAACACGTGGTTACAAGCAGGGGAACAGCGTAAGATCAGCATAAAGTCAAGGAGGGAAATTTGTTATCAGGATTTAAAGGTGACTCACAGAACCAGAGGCAGAGAGAGGCAGCCGGGGCCCAGTGACGGACCGGAAGTGAAGACTCCGTGGCCTCCAGGACTCTTCCTGTGTGCTTTGCTCTCCTTCCTTTCTCAGCAGGCTGGATTTCTGTGATCCCCAGGCAACGTAGCAGAATGTGTCTACTCCCAAATCATGGGTTTACATCTGTCCTATTTACGAGACAGCCAGACCGAGGTTGGAAAGAGGGAGTGAGAGATGAGAACCAGCCCAGTAGGTCAGGTTCCCTATAGTTGGCATTTTCGAGATCGTCTAGTCTAGAAGTTTCTCTCTCTCTCTCTGTATGTGTCTCACCCTCTAACTTTCTTTCACTCTGTTTCTCAGTTTATATGTTCTCAGTTTATATGTTAGACATACTCTTATGGTCAAATATTCATGTAATCCATAGTATATGGAGGAAAACACCAGAGACTTCTTATAACCTCACTTCCCTCTCCACAGGGGTAGCCACTGTTAACAAGTATATATGCAGGCCGGGCGCGGTGGCTCACGCCTGTAATCCCAGCACTTTGGGAGGCCGAGGCGGGTGGATCACGAGGTCAAGAGATCGAGACCATCCTGGTCAACATGGTGAAACCCCGTCTCTACTAAAACTACAAAACATTAGCTGGGCATGGTGGCGCGTGCCTGTAATCCCAGCTACTCAGGAGGCTGAGGCAGGAGAATTGCCTGAACCCAGGAGGCGGAGGTTGCGGTGAGCCGAGATCGCGCCATTGCACTCCAGCTTGGGTAACGAGAGCGAAACTCCGTCTCCAAAAAAAAAAAAAAAAGTATATATGCTTCCAGTTCATTTTCTGTGCATCCATATCAATGTAAGCACATGTATATATCAGTTTTCTTTATTTCACTTAAAGTGAATTGTATTATATGCATTGTTTTGATACTTGCCTTTTTTACTAAATATGAATTGAAGATCTTTCCATGTCAGCACATACAAATCTACTACATTCTTTCTACAAATCATAATGAATATGTCCTAATTCATGAAACCAATTTGTGTTGATGAGTACTTAGGTTGATTCTACTTTATGATGGTTAATTTATGTGCCCACTTGGCTGAACTCTGGTACCCAGGGGTTTAGTCAAACACCAGTCTACACATTGCTGTAAAGGTTTTTTTGTTTTGTTTTGTTTTTTTGCTGGGATTAACATGTAATGATTGCTTCTCTGAAAATCGAACCTAGAGCTTCATCCTCAGAGTAGCTGAATTACAACACAAATAGGA